TCTTAGAATAGTGGATTAAGCCTAACTCAACCCTACAAAACCGGCTTGTAAGGTGAGGGTTGCTCTCCACTTATATACTATTTAATTGCCTAATCTCTAGCCGATGTGGGACTTGGGTTTTTCCCAATACACCCCCCTCACGTCCAGCACTATTGGGCTTGGTACGTGGATAAATGGTAGGTGGCCCTTTTTAATGATCTAGGATTGGCGGGACTTGAATACATCCCCTCATGTCCATGGTGCATGTAGCAATGAATGGTAGGTGGCCCTTTTCTAATTGACGGGACTTGAAATACACCCCCTCATGCCCATGGTGCATGTATCAATGAATGGTGGGTGGCCCATTTTTAAAGTGAATCTAAATGACTCTGATACCATGTTGTGATTCAGGAATTGTGTGTATTGTTGTACACATACCAATCTTATTTATAGAGTGAATACAATAAATGATAGAGATACTAATCTCTAATATTATGGAAACTAATCTAATCATATCCCTAATTGATAGTGAGGATAATAGCCCATAATATATGTATCCACAATATCTGTAATATATTCACAATATCTGTAACACATCAAAAGGCACTGTCAACCTAACGCATACTTTATTGCACCTGTCTTTTTCTACCTTTGAGGTTCCAGGTATAAACTATGGAAACCATATCTTAGAGCAGTTATGGAACGCGACATGACATTAGTCAGCGAAGGAAATAAAAGCAAAGCTGAGGTTTTGGCAACTAGCTTGCAGCAGATGGAAGCTTGTTTCCTAGATGTAAGCCGTTATTTGATTCTTGCTCAGTAGCTTATAAGTTATTAGTTATTACCAAGGACTGGTTATTCAAAAGATTTGCAATATCATGCAGTTCATGTTAAAATTGCATCTTTTATGTTATTTCAAATTATGCTACCTACTTCTACACTGGGGTGACAAACCATTGTAGGTTTCTTGGCTTATAATAAATCACATGTGAAAGTAGTAATCATAATTTGATCACATGCTTCATAAAGGTTAAATATTTGAAAATTTTTAAATTGGTTTGGGTCCTGGGATGGCCTACTGTGGAACGGGACCTATCTAAAAATCAATAGATTAATTTAACATTTCATAAGTTTATTCTTGCTCAACATATGTTTCTTTTCTTCTCATCTTGTGAATATCTCATTCATCTACATCCTTCCTTATATTGTTATTAGATGTTTTCTTTACTTGAAATTTTGTTATATAAATCTTATCCCTCTTACAAGTAACAATAGAATCAACAGAAAGTAAAGAAGACAAGTGAAGTGCCTTTGTTCAGAGAACACAACTTATGATCTCACTCATTTTATTCTTGTATTGATGATGTTATTATTTATTTATTTTTTTATCTAATGATACCCTGAGGAAAATCTAAGGAATTGGGGCTGAATAAATTGATTTCACTGCAATAATACTGAACAAATGTGAGAGATATATTTAGAATTTCTATGCTATTATTGGATATAAATAATCGCTCTATTCTAATTCAAGATTCTTTGGTTGATGGGATCTTCCCTAAACACACAATCTGTTCTGATAAGTAAATCACCAAAAAATAAACTTTCCAGATTTCTGAAAATTAAACATTCCTAAATATTACATGATTTTTCACAGAAACAAACCTGCAGACCAGCTGAGTTGCTTTTGATCCTCATCCATTGGTAATGAGAATTGAGAACAGCTTAGTGCCTTTAGTAGTTAGTTTAAAGCTAAAACTGTAGGAAGCATCACAGTGGGTTGAGTATAATAATTGCATAAGCAGAATGGTGGAGAAGTTGAGGAAGCATGCACAATGTTTTAGGTGTAATCCTTGTTCCTGTCATTGTAATTCTTACTGATCAAAAAGTAATTGTGTAAGCATTAAGTAAATAAGCTGTCTTTAAATCGGATCATTGTCACCAATGAAATATCTCTCTTCAGTTGTGTAGCAATACATTATTAATTGTGCATCTGATCCTTTTGGGACTACAAGAACTCCCCTAGATGTCATTTTGTAGGGCAGGATGTGCTTTGTGCTCATCTAAACTTCTTGGTTAGGGTAGTCCAACTGCCTCGTACTTGTTACAACAAACTGGGCTTGTGGCTTTTCTCCACAAGTTATGGCCTTTCTGTGGGAGGGATTATGAGCAAAATTAGAATTTCCAATATATTGACATCTTTTGCATACATAGCAATTTTTTTTGGTAATGGCATGCACACTAGAAGAAAATGGTTGGTACTCAATTTAGTATTCCCACTAGTAGTTCCCCATTCAAGCTGCCTTTTCAGTTGCATGAAATTTATCTCAACAAGTTTATCTTGGTTATGGAGATTATGAACGTAAATGATTGATATCTTGTAAATATATGCAGGCAAGATTGAATAAAGTGAAACTTTTAGAAGCCATGGCAATATTTTTTGAAAGGTGATTATCCCCCAACCTCCATCCACTTGGATTCTTTATGCAAAAAATATTAATAGATCTCTTCAACCACTATTGCAGATCTGGTAGATCAGGCAATGATGGGCTGCATGCTACTGGAGAAGTTGTTCGACGATGTGGACTTTGTCAAGAATCAGACATGGTGCTAAGGAAAAATAGAGTATGTGTTTTAGGTCATTGTGGTTCCCTACCAAGAGAATGATTACATTTAATAAACAAAGTTTGGAGTTTTAGCGGTGCTTTCTTTTTTTTTATTCTTTTCTGTGAGTTATAGGTGGTGACGTTTTTGGGAATTACATAAATGGTTCAATTACGTGCCATTCTTGTTCAATCATGTGGTGGCTAGCCAACGAACATGAGACTAGGAGTGTGGATGTTAGGTTTTTGGTAGTAAATAGTTTTATTGCCTGAGCATGAAACATGGTCAAGAAAAGACAAAGTAGGCTCTATCTGGTTTATATAAGTTTTAAGTAAAAAAGTATTTAACCATATCTCCTTGAATACAGATGTATAATTTCTAATGTTTATACTTGCTGAATTTCTGTGCCTCTGTGCATGTGGGCATGCTCAATCATAATCTTGATATCATCCTTTTGTTTTATGTAATTTATATTTTTGAAAAGAATACAGGCAGATCCTGTTATCTGATTACATTTTTATATTATCATTTACCAGGATGGCAATTTTATGGTTGGATGTTTGGGTTACCCTCAGGTTCGTGTTTTCATTTTCTCTTCAACAGTTGCCTGTAATTGCTTTGTTATAATTACAACTTATCTAACCTTGGAGTTGCCAGTTGGCAATATGTTGTTGTGCACCTGTGCTCCAATCCCCCTTGTGTATGAAAGAGAGAAACAAATAAGTACAAGCAAACAAATAATGATAAGAAATTATCCTTAAGACATGACAATTAGAGAGAAACATGTTGGCAATATGTGGTTGTGCACCTGTGCTGCCCCCTTCCCCTTTGCAGATGAAAGAGAGAAACAAATAATAATAAGAAATTCTCCTTAAGACAATCTGACAATCACAATTAGAGGAAGAGAGAGCGAGGGCAATAAAACTAGGTTGTCTAGAATCCATGAGAACAACATCAAATAGAAGCAATAAAAACTATCCTATCCCATAACAGTGACAATTGGCAAGGATAATAAAGTAGTCATGAAAATACTGGCATTCTACTTCAACCCCGTGCACCAAACATAAAGTATCGATACTTTAATTTACTTCAAGTATCCGTATTCGATACGTATCCAATACGATACTCTCGGATACTTTTTCGATACGTGTTAGTGAAGTATCCCAACCTTTAGAAATATTATGAAAATTTTATTCAATCTTGATATTTTTAAATACTTCCTTGATATTTATTGGTGATACGTACTGATAAAGTATCCAAATTTTTAAAAAATTATGAAATATCCATTACTGCTAAATAAGACATATAAACATGTTTAATATAGAAACATAGAAACATTGGTCCTTGAAGAACTATAAATGAAAATTGTCTTCTATATAGATAATTTTTAAAAAGAAATGAGATTAGTAATATTATTTGTATTTGTAAATAATAAAAAGTAATTTATGATGAAATGATTTATAATTTATGTGTTTTTAGTAATGTTTAATAAGTATGTCTTAAATTTGGATTTGCAAAATAGCAATTATATATTTATATATTTACTGTTTATGAATTTTGATTAGAATTACAATTACACATTTATTATATTTCGTGAATATTGATACATATGATAACACATATTGTATATATTTTAAAATGATCTTATTGCTGTGTCAAATATGTGTTGTATTCAATATGCGTATTGTATTAGTGCATCATAGACCAAAGAAGTGTAAAAACAGCTCACTTGCTTAAAGTTTTTGTGTTTCTTTGTCCTTCCAATTCTTCTTTTGTTTTGTTGTGCATGTATTCAACATGTAGTAAGTTGTCAATTTTATAAAATGTAGACATTAGTTGAAAGAGAAAAGTATGTTTGATGAAATGTATAAAAAGTTGGAGTCGAGAATCGAGATGGCACAGTTCTGTCAGTTAGTCTAATTGTTTACTCTCTATTAGAAATAGAGAAATGTTAGCAAAACACTTTGTATCATATTCTTTTGGATATACTCTTTAGTATTTACCGAAATTTATTAGAAATCACAAATTTGTGTGTCCCACCTCTTATTTAATGACTCTCTCTCTCTCTCCCCGAAATTTTGTAGTTCTCAGTAAACTTTAGCCCACAATAGTGTGTTGGTAACATTTCTCAATAAGAGAAATAAGCTAGGCCTAAATCCTAAAAGCTAGCTATAGAGGGAGGATTGCCCAAGATAAGGAATATTCTGACTATATTCCTAGCCATTGTGGGACATCTTAACGTTCATTAGTTTTTGCTTAAGATGCTCAGTCCTATGAATACAATATCTCTTCGTATTGAAGAATATATTTTGAATATAAATTCCTTACCATATCCTATTTTAACCATATTTTAATGTACAATATCATTAAAGAGTAAGTAGTTAAGTACTCAATAAGATAAGTAACCGATTTTTATCCTCTCTGAATTCAGTTTAAATGAATTTTGAAAGTTTTGTGGTTTACCTCCCTTGCTGACCCCTCCATATTTCTTCGGCTCATGACTGACAGATACTAATACGAATTTGACCTCTATAAATGAACAGTGTAGGAATGCTGTTTGGCTCCCTGGATCAGTATCAGAAGCAGTTGTGACCACCAATACTTGCAACAATTGTACTCCTGGTTTGTGACTTAATTTACATCTATAGCTTTGCATTTAAAAAATGTAAATCTGTGGCTTGCATACTAATGTGTGATTTTGGACCTTTTTCTCTGTATTTTTTGATAAAATAATAATCAAATTTAAAGACTATGAGCACTTGAGTGAAAACATCCTTGTTTAGTACTGCAATTTGCTCATCCACCCTACCAAAAAGTACATGTTATTAGCCGTTTGGTGTTGAAATTTTAAGTATTTAAATTAGATAAGAGAAACAGACTTTTTAACAATATTTTCTTGAGAATGATGATGTCATTGAAGTGATATTGCAGGAAATTGTGCAGTACTTTGAGGAAAATTTTTAGGAAATTGGTGTAATATGCTGTGGTTTGTACAGATCTGTGATTAGAAAAATCCCATGAATCAAGGGGTCTTAGAGTAGAATTGGGAGATACTTTGTTTCCAAAAATACTAAAATAGCATAAAACTTATGTATTTATCCTGTATGATTATTTGGTATTGCCATTTATTCAAATTCATTCCATCCTAATTTTTGATATGGTATTAGAGCACCTGATCAGGATGGCTTTGTCTGCTTGTCCTAAACACTAAGATGTCAGGCTTCTTTCATTGTAGAGTCAAAGAGTGGGATTGGATGAAGTGGAGTGTGGGAGAACATGAGCAAATGTAAGACTTTGTCATTGAGTACAGAAGGCGGCATGCAATTGATGAGATAGCAAGATGTGAGAATGGCATTGCCCCAAAACGTGATAAAACGCTGCCATGAATGGGAGTGTGCTAGCGGTCTCAACAAGATGCTAGTTTTTTCATTCGGCTACTCCATTTTGTTAGGGTGTGTACAAAATTCGATGAAGTGTACCCTTAGAAGCCATAAATTGTTGAAAAGGGTTAGACATATATTCTCATGCATTATCACTCCTTAAGGCATGGATGGGAACAACAAATTGAATTTTAATATCTTACATCATTAAAAAAGGCTACTTACCATTTATCCACGTACCAAGCCCAATAGTGCTGGACGTGAGGGGGTGTATTGAAAAAAATTTAAGTCCCACATTGCCTAGAGATTAGGCAATTAAATAGTATATAAGTGAAAAACAACTCTCACTTTACAAGCCGGTTTTGTAGGGTTGAATTAGGCTTAAATCCACTATTCTAAGTAATACCATTATACAATGACTTGAAAATACAAAATAACCCGGATCTGCTTTTTGTTAAGAGTAACCAAGTACAACAAGTGAAATCATCAATAAAAGTGACAATGTTTAAACCCTAAAGATGATACTGTACATACAAGAGGGACCCCAAACATTTGAATGAACTAAGGTAAAGGGGGACGTAGCAATGTTTATTGGCAGGGAAGGAAGCCGGTGTATGTTTTTCTAATTGACATGGCTTACAATTGAGACTAGTTAACATGGATAGACTGGGAACCAATTATTGCAGCTTAGGAAGTCATGGATGTCCCAACAAAGCATGTATGGTTAGTGATGTGGCTGCAGGGCATTCTAATGGTGATGATTAGTAGTAGAGACCATGAGACTCACATCTGGTGCCAATTGTTTGACCAAAACTCCTCTCCTACAAAAGAAAAATATCTTTGTTAAAAATGACTGAACAATTATGGGATCTGGTAAGACGAGACAGAAAGAGGGTTAAATGGACAATAAGGTACATAAAGGACAAAGCCTGCAGTTAGAGAGGGTAATGAGTTAGTAGTACCAATCCCTTGAGATTTAGTTTGGGTACCATTTGCAGAAGTTATACTTGGTAAATGTCCATTTGTACAAAGAGAAGAAAATAAAGAGTGATTACTAGATTTGACTGAAGTCAATATCCCAGAGTCCAAGAGAAGGGTTCTGAGATAGGCAAGCAAAAGAATTATCAGTGTGTGCAATCGAAGCAGTAGCGTCAGGGTTTTGGCAACTTGCATCCTACTTGAGGAAATCATCGAAGATTGCTGGTGTGGTCCTGGAAGGCTCATTTGATCATGGCGTTTCAGCAGGGTCGGGCTTAAGCAGATCTAAATGAGCAGCAGATATGATCAAGAATCTGGGGAACCCAACACCTGCAACTATGAGAACGGGATGAGCCTTGACAACTTCTCTGAATTGCATCACATGGCATTAGGTTATGTTCCCCAGGGTAGGGTGAATTTGGTGCTGGAAGATATCCTTAATTACAAGATATTTTGCTATTCTACAAAAGAAATATATTCTTTCATGATTTTCAACACTTAGTGACTGTTGGGTCCACAGTTTGTTACAAAGATAACTTAATGCTAACAGATTTAGTACAGTACAATGAATGAACAACTTTTTTGTACAGTTATGACAACTTAAACTAATGTCTCTAACAACTATTTTTTGTTTGTAATAAATTATAAAATTATTAATTTAAATGTGTATTTAGGAGCAGATGCAATTTTGTTTTGAAACAAGGCATCGCTTTTTTTTTCCCCTACAATCATGTTAACATTTTTTTGGTGGTTAACCAGTAATGATATTTTTACTGCTAGGAATTCTCCACCCAGCATCCACCTGTCACATGTGGATAACCACATGTATAAATATGGCTAACTTTGTTTCAAGTGGTTAAGAGTAAATGAGTGTGATTGTATACAATTGTCAATCTGTACTTGTGATGCTAATGGTTAAATATGCCTAGTTAGTATTTAACAAAAGGAGAGAGAATTTGTGAAGTTTCTATTTCACTGAAATCTGAAAAATACAAAAGCCAAAGAGCTTTTCTACCTACATTCAGTACTTATAGAATGCAAAAGCTCAGAACTGGAAGTTAAAAATCTGACAGATGTCCTATAGTAAGCTAACCAACTGACAACCGAGAGGAAAGTAAAATAGCAAAAACAAATTCAAGAAAAAATATCTTAAGTGATTATAGTGTCGTGAGGTTATTGAAAATATCTAATGGTGATTAACTTTGCCTTACAATTGGCTTAGAGTATAGAATGTATGCATACAGTTATCAATTTTTACTTGTTGCACTAATGGTTAAATATGTCATAAGTGCAGTGGCATGTGGTTATTAAATGTCTAATGGTGGTTAACTTTGGTTCACAGGTGATTAAGAGTAAGTAAATGAATGTGACTGTATATAATTATTGATCTATAGTTGGGACACTAATGGTTACATATGCCTCACAAGTGGTTAAGAGTGTTTGAAGTTATTGAAATGTCTAATGGTAGTTAATTGTGCCTTAAAAGTGGTTAAGTGTCTCATTAGATGCTAGGTGGACAATTCCTTGCAGGATGTTGATAGAAATTCTTTCTTCCTTCATGTGATTTTAAGGCAGTCCAACAGTTTCCCTAACAAGCTACAAATCATTTGAGAGTTCCCGGAATAAGTTATCTTTGTGCTATGCTTGGTACATATGATCTATATAACCTTGAGGGGGAGTTTTAGAAATGAAAGTATTATTGTGTAAATGTCTAGGTTCGTTTCATTACATAAATATTTTGCTCATGGTGTAGTTAAAACACAGTTTTCTATACATGCTTCTCTTCTTTCTCTGTCTCTCAACTGTATTATTTAATTTATTTGTTTTAGTCATCTTACTCTTGCGTTTTGGTTTAGATGTTATTGTCATATCTAATTGGATAAAATGTTATAGGTCCTGTTTACTTGATTCAATTCAAGTTTAGGCAGCTGGAAATACCACCAAACTACAGTGCCAACCATTTGGGTAGGTGCACCTTTGCAAGATCAATTTCTTTTCACCTGGTTACCCTTTGGATATCTTCTGAAGGAGCAAAAGGAGACCAAAAAATATGGAAAAGGATTCTTTTAATGTTGTTCTTTAACTTTTTAGTTCATTCATGAATATATGATGACTATTCAAACCCTTTTCTTGTCAAAATGCTTATGTTTAATTAATGCATGGGAAATGATAGGTTGCATTGGTGGCTGTGACGAGATTCTTGCACAGCTGACAGAAATATGTGGAAGGGGCCCTCGCATGCCAGGTCAGTGAGAATGGCCGAGTAGTTGCTAGAAACGCAATCAAAATATAGCTTTATTACCTATTGTTTCATATGAATTACTGGTTCTTTGCAGAGTGCTTTTGAGTTCAACATTGTTTGTGAGCATTTAATGTGAAATAACTTATATGAGATGGTCTACGTGCATATGGCAGTTTCAAAACAGTTTGTGGAAATCAAAAAGCATTTTTAGGAGAGAGTAACATTTACTTTTAGGATATTATATTAATACCTCTAAGCTAGTTTTTACTTTTTTTTTTTTTTTTAATCTTCAACATTAGTTTTTAGAATTTTTTGTGGTCACAAGCTCGATAGTGGTGTCAGAACAGAATACATATTTTCATCTGCTTGCTGTCATTCACATTGTTTCGATAAACAAATATGCTCTCATTATACCTTACCATGTTTTCCAGCAAGAACTCGAGGACCAGCAGCACCAACTAGCAATTTCCATCATACTAACCCAAGGCAAGGAGTTTGTGCAAACTGTCAAGAAACAGGCCATTCTTCTAATGATTGTCCTTTACGTTCCAGGAATGTCCGACATCATGGAATGAGTGAACATAATGGTAAGGTCTCTGTAGTTTATTAAATTCCATACCAGTTTAGACAGTCTAGAGGAATCAAAAAATGTATTTCTTGTATATATAGCGTTGCCACAGGGACATGAGCAAATGATGTCAATCAATCAGGAAGATACTGAATATGTATTTTGTAACAGACAAATATTGACTTTGGATTCTGTGAAAATGGATTACTGGTTTTATTATAAAGTGGTTTGTATTAATTATCTGGGCTTGGTCTGATATGTGATACAAATTTAGAAGCTTTCCCCCGTGATATACGATGCTTGGTTACACAATGATTGCTAGGGTATATTGGTATTGGATTTGAATGCCAAGAAGCTTTTCATTGTAATCTTTCATCGATTGTGGTGAAATTTCTGTTTTTTTTTTCTGTGCACATTGGCCTATGAGTTACTGTAGCCTTAGGTCAAACCGCATAAAGTGTGCGGACACAATCGTTTTCTATCAAATCAAGGTTTGCGAAACAATACAAGGCTTTGATTCGGAAATTTTTTATTTTCCATTTTCAAGATTTCTTGTATCTTTTTTATTTATCTTATTTTATTTTATTTAATGGATTTTAGTAGACACCACTGTAACATATTTCATATTCTTAAATCTGTCTCATTCATCCTATGTTATATAATATGATAAATGTTAAAATTTAATGATTTACTTATTTCTATATTTCATAGCCAATCTAGCTCAAGTTATGGTTTGTGTTCGTAACTTTTGTGTATATTTTTTACTGGGGTGATAAAAAGTGAGGACTGACTTATTTTGCAGAAAATAAATAAGGAATTTTGATTAACTCAGTGCATCATGTTAGAAATTCTTGCTCTTCATTGTTCATGCTTTTTTGCAGTCATTATTTATCAGTTGCCAAAATTGAAATTTAAAACACTGTTTTATAAACCATTAAACAATGCAGGGGAAGCTTCTGTTTCATGCAGTTCATGCGGAACGCCATGTGTTTTGCGAACTGCAAATACTGCAAATAACAGGGGAAGGAAGTTCTACTCATGTCAAGAGTGCAACTTTTTTGTGTACGTGAACTCTAGATCTTTTTTTTTTTTTTTTGGCTGCATTTGAGGATTATATTTCAGTTTTTGTGCTATATTTATTATTTACTATTAGGTTAGGAGTGCCGGAAATGTGAAGAATTTCAACAATGAGTTCACTGGTAGTTGTGATTTAGCTAGTGCATTGTTTTATTTGGGGAGTTATTTTTGTTTTTAATGAGAGCAGGGGGATTGGCATTGATTATCTATATCAAATTTTTGTAACTATCACATCTTTGACACTTCCACTTAATAATGTCTAGACTCCTGACAATAGAATGATTAACCTACCAATCTCGTTCTTTTTGGCTGCTTTTTATCCACAAATAGCTCAAACTGACATTTATAAAATTTTATTTAATTATGACCACTGTTCATCATTACGTCTAATTTTTTGAATAGGAAACAACTCTCCATTTTCAATTTATGTGATGGATTATGTTGCAAGCGGTTTAGTGAAACAGAACACATTGCATGGTTTTAAGATAGTTATTTGTTTAATAAGCCTTATCACCCCTATCACAGATGGGAGGATAGCCTCAATGATGGCACTGGAGGCAGAAGTGTTACAAGTGGTAGAGGTTCAAATAGTATTCCAGCATCCAATCCTAGGGGAAATGGTGGACGTGGATCTCGTGGTAGAGGTGGCCGGAGTGGATCTCATACTGCTAACACGACATTTGTGTCTGCTACTGGGGATCCTATTTCTGGTAGAAGGTGCTTTGTGTGTGGTGATCCATCTCACATTGCTAATGTCTGTCCGAATCGTGGTGTCTGATCTCTTCTCATTGATTCATCTCAGATCCGTTGTATAGAAGGAAAACCAGGTTGGGCATCCAGAACCTTTTTTATTATTATTATGATTATGCATGTGTTTGATTAAGCACTGGTAATTTGATATGTAAATACAATTATAAGCCCTTGTGGAAGACAGCTGAAATAGGACAATCTCTTAAACTTCTCGTGAAAAAGTAGTTTGTTATGCATGCTTCTTATTTGTTTATTTAGGTATGCATGAGAACTGCAGATGCACTATGACATAAATTATGTAGGCTTTTGTATCATTTGCATCAACCAGCATGTATTTTCTAATTTTGAGGCCCAATTGTTTTCAAATCCAGAAAATTTGGCCACACCGTCTGTTTGTCGAGCACATGGTGGATAGGCTGTCACGAAACAGTTCATTTGCTAAATCTGTGGGAGCATGTGCGAGCAAATATTGTTTGACTGCACCTGAAGAGGGAGCATTAAATCCATACTTAGTAACGAAGCCATATATTATGTTTCAATTTTCTCGGCCAATTGAGATTTTTTTTTATGTATGCATTAATCTAATCATAGCATATACTTACACGTCATCTTCTCAACCTATTGTAAATTTGAAGATCATGTGCGTATGGGCTTTAACATTTTGCACAAAGTACAGACACGCCATTATTTTGGGCCACATAACCATGTTGCTGATTTTTCACTTAACAAGCAAGCAGGAATTGTTAATTTCCATCAAATTAAATAATCGAATGATTATACAAATGAGTAAGGAATTAGTAGGTGATATGATTAACTTTTCTTCTTTGTTGTATTATATTGTAAAAGATCTCTAAATCTCCTAATGCCCGGAGTTTGGAGGAAAGGAAAAGCGGGTTAGTGTCTTGCCAAATAATCTTTACTTTATTCTTTTTTACTTTATATAATTCTTGAATATGGGAATTTTTACTTAAAACATCTTTCCTTTCTCTCCGACTTAAGGTAAAAAGTAAATAGAACTTTCTAGAGTCATTTGTGTTGGCTACACTCGTCAGTTGTATTTTTGGATCTTGTAAACTTATAATGATATAATTTGATAATTAAATAAGGATGATTGGAAGTTCAGTTTTCGAACGTCACAGACAGCTCTAGTTTTCTCAAAATGGATAAAATTCTATTTAAAATAGATCCTCTTTTCTAAATTATATTATGCATACAAGCATGTGAACTGGGACAACTAGGGAGTAAGGACGACAATTTGCATTTTGCTTGTACTCGATAGAGGACGGTTTACGAAGATACGGCACATTAATCACGCCCAAGGCTTATGCGGTTGCGGACAATAATATTTTAGCAACCCAAAGGGTCGTACAATATTCTGATTACTTATTCTAATATTTGATAAATTTTTATACTTTTTCAATATTCTTTTTCTTTATTACTCATCTTTCACATTCTCACTTAATTAAGTGGTTCAATATTTCTTATTTTTAATTAAAGATCATGATTTCATACCTGATTTCAACCTGAAGTTGTGGTATGAAGTAGGGATGATAATGAGGTAGATTTGAGTTTCAATACTTTTGTTCTTATTTTCAAGTTTATATCTTATGATTTATATTTATTTCTGTCTTCATACTGGTGAGTATAAATTTGTATTTCATCTCAGTTTTTGTTGGATATCGAATGTATTTATACCCCTTTTATATCCACTTAGAAAATAATTAAATATTTAAAAAAAAAGAAAAATTCTAACAAGGTAATAATTATAAAATTATATTAATTAGGTAAATAATAATTATATAATTATATTAATTAAGTTTTACCTGATATAAATTTAAAAGAGAGTAAAAATTATATTAATTTTAAGTAAATTTTAAAGTAAATTCAGTTTCTAGAAATTTAAAACAAATATAAGAATGTGAAGAATTGTGGAATAGGTAAATATATATTTATCTATGATCTTGTACTTGATTTAATAAAATAAATATTATCCGTATTTATATTTATATTTAATTAAATTAGATATTTTTTTTATCAAAATTAAGGTAAATTGTACAATTAAGGTTAACCTAGTAATTGGGTGGGAAAATGTTAAAATAATTAAAAGCATGAAAATTTAGGTTCAATCTTCGTTACGATCATCTTTATAATCTTTCTTATCTTTAAAAAAAAATTAAAGTAAATTTTATCATTATTCATGAATACAAATTTATTTATGAATCATAATTGAAATTACCACTTTCCAAGTAATCCAATAAAAAAAAAGTTTCTGTTTATAAAAAGAAAATACTCTCTTTTCTTACTTGTCTGTTCCATATATAAAATTTTGTACAATTATATTTTTGTGAATTCATTTGTGTTCATGGAAGTAGGTAACCAAGAGGTGAGGGTTAAATTATAGCTTATGGCCAGAGATGTCCTTTGGTCTGTGGAGTGTAGCGTCGACCATACTGCGAAAGGTAGTGGGTAGCATCATTTTCAACCAGAAAGATCAAAAAAGTCTTTCCCATTTGTTCTTTTTAGGATATTTTAATTATTCCTTTACCTTTTTGTATTCTCTGCCATAAAAGCCTCGCTTGCCTTTTATTATTATTTTAAAACTTGACTTCAGCAGTGGTGCATGGAATTTCAAGGTAGGGAAAAGGCATCGAATGAAACCCACCGCTACCATGGTTACTGGTTAGGTACACATTTAGATGTAGATGGTTTAGCATGCTTCCCACAGGACAAATGATCTTAGCCATATGTGCCCACTTTCTAACACGTGTAATATTAAATAATAAATGAATGCAAACTTCACTCTCTTTTTTACTACAAAAATTAATACAAGGTTTAGTAGCTCCTTAGGGAGGATGAATCACAACTAACACTCTCACAAAGAAATCCATTAAATGATTATCCGACTGAATTTGACGTTCTTAATTAATGTTTTGAGTTTGAACTTAGTAGATAGTGAAAAGGTGATTGAAATGATAGATTTAATTAAAAATAATCAATCAATTTTATTTTAATTTTTAATCAACTTAATAGATGCTTCACATTAATAGTATAGTTTAAAAATTTATTAAAAAAGAAGAAGAAATAGAATAAATAAATTCTAAAAAGATATGGAAGGTTTTTAGCTTATTTGGTTTGATAAAAAAATTGCAATGAAATAATATTACAAGTCATTTAGTTTAAATAGAATGAAAAAAAATTGATTATAAATATAAATATTATGTTATTCTTATATAACATGTTTAACCCACACAAAATAGAAACAATTGATTATCAAATAGAAACCACACAACAAAACTGATTATCAAATATAAAACTGATTATCCCATATAACCTTGCAACAAAATTGATTATCAGCATGAAACTTATTACTATAAATGAAAAGGGTTGATTTTGGAAATTAAGTACGGTTTACTTATGCCAAAGAAATCCTTTTTTTTTCTCTATACTTTCACATTCTTCTCTCAATTTCTTAACTATTTTCATGCTAACAAACAGGGTGTAAGGAACTTTTAAATTTTATAAATGACTTCTTAAGTGTTGCATGAACAGTTAACAATATTACGAGAGTAATTTTGACAGTGAATATTTTTCTAGGGTAACAAAGATTATTTGTGATAATACAAAATCTAATTTAATTTTTAGTAATTGTTGGTTGATGCAAACCGTCATAAACCTTAGTTTTTGAAGTTTCACGTTAAGTAAATAAAAAAAAGTTTAATTTGATAATCAAGCTATAAAGATCTTATACCTAATTCCGTTTCTCGGCTTGAGTTGTAACGGAAAACAAAAAAGGGGCATCGAAATTTATCCGCTGTAATCCTTATATGCATAAAAGGACAACTTATTTTTCTTAGTTCATTGAATAAGCTTTGGACACATGCCTACTGTTAATGTGGTTACTTCATTAAAAGAAAATCTCAATAAAGCATTGCATTAATAGTAAAAAAAACATTTAAAAACTATTGCAATCTCGTACTATAAAATGTACATAATCTTATATTGGAATCTTGATATTGTCTTTGTAATTTTAATGAATATTTTAAAGCATTTATTAATTTTCGTTACCATATTTACATAGCTATTGTCAATATACTATTATCCTAACAAAACGTTATATCTACTAAATATAAGACACATATTTTAAAATAGAGAAAGACTTGGAGTGTAAGTTTACAATGAAATAAATTAAAAGATGGTTAGAAGGATATAGTTTAAAGGTAATTATAAAAGTAAATGGTTTAAAAAAAAAGTGTGTGCCAAATAGATGTATTGTCTTTATTATTAATATGAAAATAAATGAAAAAAGCTTTTCAACGATGAGTTAGCAAGGAGATTATCAAAAGTTATACTCTTATTTATCTATAAATTTTATTTATGTACTCCATCATTTTATTGTTATTACACACTCTTAAATTTACATAATATTTTTCATTCGTAAATTGCCAACAATGGCTAAATTATAATAAATAACACAAAGATTATGGCTTGAGTGGGGAAAAGAATAAAACTTTTGATTTTGAGGGTATCTCTGACAACGTAAGCAATCTCTAGTTTCCCCCACATTTCTCTGTCCTTGGTTTGCTTTTCGAACGGCTAGAATGATCAAAAGTTTCTGTCTTTGGTTTACATGGGTCCCTTCCCTACTATGGTGGCAACTATAGTATTATTCAACACTTCATTTTATAATCACATCTTCCATTGCCATGCCATATTCTTTTGCATTTATTCCCACGCCTCAATTCTTGTTGTGCACGAAGTAGTAACACTTTAGTCACACTAATTTTGCTTTTCATGTTTGTACAGTGATGTTGCATTTATTTTAGTGAAAATTCAAGTAGTTTTGCACAGCTTGTGGACTACGAACTTTCAACATGCACCCTGAATTTATTAGAAGAAATTCCACAACTCATTGGGGGCAGGATCTCTCTCTCTTTCTTTTTGAGATATGCCCAATGTCTTAAAATTAATAATTAAAAATTAATTTGATTGGAGTTGATATCTCCCACTCTTACAAAAGTTACATAATTTTAGGAATAATTAACTTTAATGAATTTTATATAAATGAATTAGACAACATTTAAGAGCATCTGTAATGGGGTTGCTTATAAATAGTCTTTATGTCACATCACTGCTATATCAACTCTAGCCCACTTTATAAATTGCTTAAATTAGCAGAGTTGCTTGTAGGAGTAACTCTGCTAAAATTTAAGCAATCCATAAAATGAACTAGAGCTGATTTGACAGTAATGTAGCACATGGAGTTACTTATAAACAACCTTACATTGCAGATGCTCTAATGATGAAAATATGTGATCCACATATCCTTGCTCAAACAAAATATCTTAGCCTTGACATTGTTAATTGTCTGAAAATTGTATAACTCTCGTGCCTTCAGAGAGAACCAAGACAGACATACACTCACATATTTTCTTTTATAAGGACACGTGCCAAACAGCAAGTGATTCTATGAAAATGAGATCATAATCAAGAAGATCTTTCGCATTATATATGTATCCCAATCTCTATTATGGAGCCATTTCCAAGTTATTGAGTGATGGTGACTTTCACACAACATTTTTTTCAAATAAAATAACAACAATAAAAAATTTGATAATGAAAAACTAATTATTAAACTCAATCTAACGGCAAGAAATATTGAAGTTAATACATAGATTTTAAGTTCGATTCTCAACGTTAGTTGGGACAAATATACAAGAACTTAGATCCAATTGTTATAATAGAAATATTTTTATTGATAATTAATATGATACAAACAATAATAAAATAATCCAGCAGATTATCAACTTAATGGTGTACATGAATGGACAAGAAAGCAGAATCATTCTAAATAAAGGTGGAGCCCGCATTAAAGTTTCCTTTGAATGATTTGACCTCTAACATTATTATTTGTCACATATTTGTATATTCGACCATACAACACATCTTAGCCAACTTTCATAATGAACGTTAAACTCATGTAACATGGCAACCAATGAGTAAAGTTTATACCATAAGTTTATTAATCATGTGAATTAAGGTTTTCTTGTTTCGTAATGTTCAGATTTTTTTCTTTGGTCGGAAAGGGCGTGAAATGTTTTCGTAATTTTATTTTTATAAACACTTGCAGAGAAAGATCTTTTAAATAAAAGAATATTATTTTTATGTAATTTAGATTAAATCCTACTCACTAGCACTTTTAATAATAAGTATCCAAATTAAATATTTTACAAAAAAGCGTTTAATGGATGCTTTCATACAAAGCACCCAAATTTTTTTAATCAGTCGAAATTAGCAATAGAACCATGTATATAGCACTACAAAGTGCTCATTGAATTTTTTCATATTAACCTTATTTAATTTTACAAAAAAAAAAATAAATAGATGAGAGTAAACTTTATTGTTAAGAATATAAATGAAAACAGATAGATTAATACTATCTTAAAAAGTTAAACGACAATTATTTTAGAACATTTTTTCCTCCTTTTGTAACAATTATATTAGAATGGAGGAGGTTATTTTTGTTTTCGAAACAAACGTCTAAATACACGGTCTATATATATATATACATAGTGTTTCTCTGTCATAATGCTTACAAAGCTTTCTTTATTTTGAAAAAAAAAAAAAAAAAACTCTTCAAGATGTTTCCAATATTCAAAATCTCATCACGGAGACATAAGAATGTATATTCCTCTTGTTAACGAGTGTGGTTTACATATGTGCATAACTGAGTATAATGGGTTATATAAATCATAATGTGTTATGGGTGAGATTGATTGGACTTTAATTGATTCCGATTGGTTTAAAATTTAGATTTCAAAATTTTTTGTTGTTTAATTCAAATTCTTTTAATTAAAATCATCGAATATATGATGATTTTTTTAAAAAAATAATGGAAATAAATTTTCTTGAAATAAATAAATTTTTTAACATTAACTAAATTAATACATCACAAATTATTAATTAAATTGGTAAATTTGTAATATAATTTATTTATTTTTACTCTATTTAAGTATTTTAAATGCACTATAATACATGAAGATGACCCTCAATATATTTCAATATAATTTTTTTATTTCTTTGAGAAAATCTAGACCTATATATTATACTACAAAAATATCTTTAAAATAATTAAAATAATAAATATATGTTAATTAAATAAAAAATATAAATTAATTAGTTTGGTTCATATCAATTTGAATTTTAAATGTCTAAATTTTATACTTAAATCAATCAACATCAAATTTAATTAATTTGATTTAGATTAAAAAAATAACTAATTTTATTAATTTGATGACTCTAGGTCTAAAGCACTAAAGTATATAAAGAACATAAAAAAAAAAAACTCTTAACATGTCTTTCTAACAATATAAAATTGTGGATAAAATTCGTTTGAATTTGTGTGCAAAATTTATAACTCTTACATGTGTTGAATTGTTATTATATCTTATTTTAAACTTTGATTTACTACAACATTTTTCTCTTTTTATTCCAAAATAATAACTCTTACATGACATTATGACAATATCCAAAAATAAATTTCTTTTAAAAAAATTTAATGGGCATACTAGCTACAATATCAATCAATTTAAAAATAAATTTTAAATAATTATTATAAAAATTAACACTTAATATACTTGACAATTTGTTTTAAGATAATATTATATAAATTTTATATAAATTTTTGGGTTAAAAAAGTTTATAGTCCCTTAATTTTTAAGAATTCAATTTTCAAATTTTAATTTTTTTTTGTCAACTTTTAATTCTCTATTTTATTTATGTCACATAAATTAATTTTCAATATTAAATCTCATTTATTAAGTAATGATATATATTAATAAATGTCTGACTGAATTATTGATGTTAATATAGCTATTTAATAGATATTAAATTATATGATACGTATTATATAATTAATAATCACATGAATATCAATAATCAAGTCAATAATAATTTATTAACATACATGATGACTTAATAAGAAAACTTTAACTTTAAAGCCTATTTTATAGAATAAAAAAATAAAGGATTAAAAATTAATAAAAATTTAAGAAAAATTTAAAAACTAAATTTTTAAAAAGTTGAAAACTAAAAACTTATTTAACTTAATTTTTTTATTAAAGGAAGTGGTATTAGATTGAATATCAATATTATATTTAGATGGTTATTTTTTTATATATAAAAGTCAATGTTAAGAAATAAGAAAAAAAAAATGTTTTGATGATCTTTTATGCTATTTAACTATACGTATTGTTTATTTATTACTAAATGAATAAGTATTAATTATGAAAGTTTAGGTGGTCATAAAAGTCAATTTTAAATAAGTATTTTTAATGTTTAGATGACTTTTTTATATTGTTTATGTGTATATAATTATTTTTATAAATGAATAGATACTAAATTTCACCATCACGCTTAGTTTTTGTTTTTGCTTTTTTTTTTTTTAATTTACAATACGGATACAAAATTTAAAACTTAACATATATCACTGTTTTAACTAAATGGACAGGACATTTTTGTGAGACAATCATTTCTTTCTGTAGTAGGCTTATTTGGAAAAACATGTTTGATTTTATGGTAAAACGTGTTTATTTAATTAAAAAAAAAACAGTTTGACAATGAGAATACCACAGAATCCAACAAAATTCAACAACGTTATAGTTATTTTTCTTATCCATCAGTGTTATAGTTATTTTTTCTTCTTCATATTAATAGCCATGCGTTGTATAAAATAATTAAATTATGGTATAATAATCATAAATTATGTATCATAATATATATGATTTTTAAATAATTTATATAAAAATAAATAAATTTATTTTACTAAATAAAAACACATATTTTTACGAGTTTAGATTCTTTCTTGCAATTTTCTCTCTCAAGTCTCTTTCCTGCAATATTAATAATTATTAGATATATCTAATAGCTCAAATTTAATTATTTAAAGAATTATATTAATTATAAAATTAAATTTAAATTATTAAATATATTATTATGGTAAGAAAAAATTTAAAAAGAAAAAATTGCATAATAAGATCCAAATTCCATATTTTTACTGTGAAGGAAAAGGAATCAACCTCTGTTCTGCAACGCAACAAGAGTGGAGTCTGCAGTGCAGTCTACAGTACCTGCATGCGTCTTCCCACATCCCATCAGTGCGTGAACCAATCAGCATTCGCCACGTGAGCGCGGGTCCACTTATTAATAATTGATGCGACCGAGACGAGATTCGAGGCACGCCAGCGCAATCGTGGTCGGCACAAGCAACGGTTGAAAACGAACCTGCAATCCCAACACACACCCGCGAAGCAGCGTAACGTTCCCCCTAAGACAGTTGGTTCGACACCACGGTTCTCGAGCACGATTCGTTCTCTCTCTCGTTCGCCATTCCCAAGATAAAGCATTAAGCAACCATCACCAAAGAGAGTTAAAGGAAAAAATAAGAGTTAGAGAGAGAAACACAAACTCACTCTTCCCATGAAGCTTATCGGCGACGGTGCCGGTGGCCGGATTGTCCTCGTCGGCGTCAAATTAGATCCTCGCAGCCGTGAATTGCTCACGTGGGCGCTCGTTAAGGTGGCGGAGCCCGGCGACCTCGTCATTGCGCTTCACGTGCTCGACACCGCCACCGGTATCTCTCTCTTCTTTCTCTCTCTAACTTTATTCTTAATAATAATCTGAATCGTGATTTTATTTTTTCGTTGCAGAGGGAGCGGCGTCGCTGTTATCTCTGGTGAAGACTTTCGATTCCGTTCTCGCCGTTTACGAAGGCTTCTGCAACCTGAAGCAGGTTCGTTTCGCCGTTATTTATTTATTTATTTTTTTGTTCTTCTTCCGTTTCGGTCACGTGGAATAAATGTTTTGTCACCGCGGTTTCGGTTCCGGAACTCCGTTTGTTTGTACGATTTTCGTTTCGTTCAGGTTGGATTGAGGCTTAAAGTGTGTCGCGGTGGTTCGGTTCGGAAGGTTCTGGTGAACGAGGCGAAGGCGTTTGGCGTTTCCACGGTGATTTTGGGAACTTCTAAATCTCACCACACTATTCGTTCTTCCGCTTGGGTTGCCAAATACTGCGCGAAGAAATTGCCCAAGTGTGTCTCTGTGTTCTCTGTTGATAATGGCAAAATCGCGTTCCGCAGAGAAGCTTCCAGATTGTGTAGTGATCGAGGTTTAATTAGTTTTATTTCTTCGTTTTCTGCGTTTCTTTTGCTTAATAGTAATAATATGCGTTTAATTAATGATATGCTTCGTGAGTGAAGTGTGTTTTAGTACTTTTTTGGTGAGGGATGTTTGTTGATGAATGTTTGGTGAGAGAAATAAAAGTGAGAATGATAGAGTTTTTACTGTTGTGGCAGAAAAATTACTCGAAGGGGCAAATTTGTCGGCAAAATCATTGGTGGTTTATACAAGTAAGAGTACGAAGAGTTGTGGAAGTTGTGCGTTGCAGGAGTGTTCTGGAATTGAGTTTGAGCAAGGGTTGTGTGAGGATGTTGAGAAGGAGAATCCACTTGCTTTGGTTCCGTTTAAGAATCTTGATGAGGATGATGCTCCTTGTTATTCAGTTGTGGCCAGTAATTCGAAGCGTAGACCTGGTTGGTCGTTGCTTCGTCATGTATTTCATCCCAGAAAGCATACCCATACCCATAAGCATTGTATGAAAAATACATTTGTTTTTCAACGGGCATTGCGACAACCGACTTTTCATTCTTCGGCTGTAGTCCATCCAGATCAGAAACAAATTACTATTGAGCAGATTGATGATTCCCCACTTGATGGGGTGAGTGGTGCCATTGTGCCATTTGGATCTGCTTCTGTTTTTGCTTCTCCCTCCCTTTGTAGTGATTTGAGTAGCCTTCCTGAAGAATTGTTGGTGTTGCAAGAGAAGTATTCGTCTTCATGCAGATTATATAGTTTGCAGGAACTTGTATCAGCAACCTCCAACTTCGCACTGGGTTAGCTTTCCCTGCTTTGACTTTTGTTTCCCAGCTTCTGTTCTGGTTGCCTTCTTGGGGTATCTTCTAATAGGTTTTTTTTTCCCTCTTGTTTTCAGAAAATTTGGCTGGCAAAGGTGGTTGTAGTTATGTTTACAGAGGATGTCTTCCAGATGGCAAGGAATTGGCTGTGAAAATTCTGAAGCCATCTGAAAACGTGATAAAGGAATTTGTTCAGGAAATTGAGATCGTTACAACTTTGCAGCACAAGAACGTAATATCTATATCTGGCTTTTGTTTAGAGGGCAACCATTTGCTACTAGTTTATGATTTTTTATCAAGGGGAAGCCTAGAAGAAAACCTTCATGGTAGATATTTATTTAGCTTTGCATACTAATTGCTAGGGATTGCATAAACCTTTTCATTCTCTAATTTGTCTCTCTTACTTGTACTTTCTGGCAAAGTCAACAAGGCGGACTGTAGTGCATTTGGTTGGCAAGAAAGGTACAAGGTGGCCGTAGGTGTAGCAGAGGCACTGGATTATCTGCATAATGGCTGTGCAAGAGCCGTGATCCATAGGGATGTGAAATCTTCGAATATCCTTCTTTCTGATGATTTTGAGCCTCAGGTAATGTAATAGATTTTCTTTCATTTCTCTGTTAGATGTTACACTGTGAAACTTCTTCCACTGGATTTCAGCTATGCTTATGCTTAAATCCTTGTGTTAATTTCTTCAGCTTTCAGATTTTGGACTGGCTAGTTGGGCTTCATCTTCTTCTTCCCATATTACTTGCACTGATGTCGCTGGAACTTTTGGGTGAGTAGCATAGCATCCCTCTTGTTCCTCCTTTGGCCTGTTTACCTATACTTCTGATTTGCTCTGAGCAAGTTTTATCCTGCAGATACCTCGCACCTGAGTACTTTATGCACGGTAAAGTGACTGATAAAATTGACGTATATGCTTTTGGTGTTGTACTCCTTGAGCTTCTCTCTAATAGGAAGGTCATTAGTAATGAATCTCCAAAGGGCCAGGAGAGCCTTGTTATGTGGGTAAGTTTTTTTTATTTTTATTTTTATTTTTTTACCTTTCTTATAAATTCAGCTTCTAAGATTATTACAACACTGTTTTTACAGTAATGAAACGTGTGCCAATATAAGAACTGAACATCTTGCATTGTACTATATCCCTATGAATTGGATTTGAATGATATTGTTGAAAATCTCCAGGCAACACCAATTTTGAAAAGTGGGAAGTTTTCCCAATTGCTTGATCCAAGCCTAGGCAATGAATGCGACGATTGCCATATCAAGAGAATGATTTTGGCTGCTACTCTCTGCATTAGACGGATGCCTAGATTGCGACCTCAAATCAGCCTTGTAAGTCTTTTGCCCGTGCAAAGGTGCTCCGTTCCATTTGTCCTTCCTTTTAAGTCCTTTTGAATATCAATCATGTTTTTTAAATGATGCTGCAGATATTAAAACTTCTGCATGGTGATGAAGAGGTGACAAGATGGGCAGAACAAGAAGTTAATGCACCAGTGGAACTTGATGGATTTGATGAGGAACAAGTTCCAACTAATAATATTCAGTCCCACCTGAACCTTGCTTTGCTGGACTTGGAGGATGATACGCTTTCTATCGGTAGCTCTGAGCAGAGTATCTCGTTGGAGGACTATTTGCAGGGAAGATGGAGTCGCTCTTCAAGTTTTGACTGACCAGTTCATTTCGACACCATATTGGAATGAAATGTTTGTTTCATATATTATTCTTTTGTTTTTCTTAGGTTAGATTTTCAAATTATGCGGTAGCGCAGATTGGGTCTTGGAAGAGAGGTCCAACGGAAAAATGTTCAGCCCCCCTCCTTGACTTTGTAGCTATGTCTCAATCTGTATTCTGGAAAGCTTTTAGCGGCAGAACTCGTGTTGGTGAGCGTTTGGGCTTTTTGGAGCAAATTCTAACGGGCTAATTGTGTAAAATTTGACAAAAACAATGAAGAGTACATATTCCACAATGAGAGAACGACCTCTTGCTTCTTAGTTCTTACTTCTTAGTTGTCTTGTCACATACCAAAAGTCCACCTGTGGTGTTGTTTCGTCGGGGTTAAGAGGTGGCATCTTCTTTTAATCTTTCTTTCTTTAACTGTAACTATTTTCATGTTTCATTCTTGTGGTGTGAATAAAAATGAACTGTAAAGTTTGAGTTTAAGGTGATTTTCGCTAGATTTAGATGCTATAATTGTTTGTACGCATATGTAAGTACCATATGTATAAAGCGATGCAGGGAAAACTTTGGGATATTGTGAAGTTCAAAACTTTGATAAAAATAAAGTGCTGTTTAAAACATGTAATTATGATCTTAATACAAATGAAATTAGGGGACTTTAAAACAGATATTTAGCATAGGAAATGACGGTGACGCTAATGATGGTGAAGCAACGATCAGATTTCTAGATGACTTTCTGATCAAATATTCCATTGAATACTTGTAAATAATTCAACGGCTATTTTTTTACGTATGGTATCCTTTACTGGAGGCACTTGACAGCGATTGAGAAGAGAGAAAAAGATAATTAAAAAAGAAAAACAATTGTAAAATAAACACGAGTATAAGTGAAGTTTTTGCTTCAACTGAACCAACCGTCATTTTCGCAAGAATTTATTGGTACTAAATAGTTATTCTGAACCAACTCGTAGAGATGAGGACTCATGTATAGATGTACATTTGGACTCTTGAAATACAGATATATCAGGACTGTTTAATTACACTAGGTTAGTGGTCACTGGTCAGACATCAATACTCGGCTATGAACTTGTATAATCCAAGAGAAATACAGCTTTACTGTGGAGATATGGTATTAAATTGTCTCGTGACTTTTAACAGTTCAATTAGATGTATCCTTTTACTAATTCTTAAAGAAACGATTTCCTATACAGGTAGTTATCATTTACTCAACCAATAAAAAAAATAATAATTAGTAAAAACATGAGTTTCTTAATTTGTCTGCAAACCAAAAAATCTTTTGCCTTAACCATTGTTCTAGTAAAAGGATATCTTTAACCATATGAGATCTAAGAAAACTTACCCGCATTTATCAATTTGTGTTACTTTCTTTGTGAAGAAAAACCCTTTTTCTATATATACAGGTGTCATATTAAGGATATGAATCTTTTTCCTCAACTCCAATTCCTTAATGTACGTGAATGTTATTTTCATAATAAATCTATCATCTGTATTTATAATTTTATCCAAATTCATGTGCGAATCACGAGAGTCATAGTCATGATTAATTTTTAGGGAGATAACTCGATAAGCAATCTGTGAGTTATCTTGAAATATGAATCTCTCGGTCGAATGACAATCAAAATGGTAAAGAGTCTCTCACTTGTTTGTCACTAGCGTGAAGAACCTCTGTTTGGCCTATTCGAGATAGAAGAGCATGTTTAGTTAAATGGAGAATCTTGTTAATTCATTCTTTGATACTTTGACGACATGTCTCTTTTTGTTAGTTATTTCATGCTATATGCTAAAAAATTTAAAGGATTATTATAATCGATCTAGTGTTAGAGAATCAAAGTAATATACACAAGATTTTAGCTTTAATATTTTTGCTGTTGTTGTACAAAAACTAAATGCTATTATTTTTTTCTAACCTCATACACTGGTCCATAAAGTTTACAAAATGTTTCGTAAAATTAAAAGCTTTATATTACTGGTCTATCAAAATATATTCAACGTTCATGCTAACATTCATCTTCTATATATTAATATTTTTATTTGGATTTGTATTGACGGTGGTCATTCATATACTCATGTGAATCACTCTAGATGATAGTGTCAAGAGAGACTATCGAATGGTAACTGATTATAATCAAGTTAACTGACAGATTATATTATTGCAAAAAAAAAAAATAATAAGTTACATAAATCAAGACAGATAAAGAGTGCAAATTAAAGAGAAAAAAGAAAGAGAAATGAAAGCTAATGAACGACAAAACAAATATATCAACACTGACACATGCCGGGTGTCTTTTACAAGTGGTGCATGGTATATCATCAATTTTAACTTAAGATACATCTAAACTAATAGACCATTATACATCTTATCACACTATATTCAAATTTTTGAATTTTTGATTGAAATTAATTTTTTTTAATTACCAAAAAAAAAAGAGCAAGTGTTACGATGCACTGACGTAGCTGTTATTCACTTTCGGAACAGGCCGTTCTGAAATCAGAACAGGCCGTTCCAGATGAAAAAATAATAATTAAATAATAAATCAGAACGGGCCATTCCAGATGAAAAAAATACATGACGAATGGATCAGAACTGTCCGTTCCGAAATCAGAACGGCCCGTTCCAGATTCAAAAATAACACATGACTAGTTAAGGGCCATTCTAAATTCAGAACGGGCCGTTCTAACTACAAATTTGTCATAAGAATTTTTTTAAGCAAAATAATATTTTTTTTCACTCTACTGAATTATATTTAAAATTTCAGTATAGTTTTTCAATTGATAATGCTTTTCTAGTAGAATTAGAGGTTTACATTAATTATATGCGTAAATTTTTAATTCTAATTAGAAAATAACACCAAACAAAATTTCCTATTATAAATATAATTTTCTCATTTAAATTATTGCAAAAAATTGTTAGTTTTAGTTTTATATCTCGACATTTTCTTCTTAAAAAAACGATGTTACCAAATATTTTTAAATTTAATTTACATTAGTTTAATTGCTTTTAAGGTGCATAGACTTTCGTGGTTTTGTTGCCAATGCCACAAACATTAGGCGTTAATTAAATGTCACCTAGTGTGAGGAGAGATACTCATTTTTTGTTTGGATTTGCATTGGTTGCTAATGTATGTGGCATTAAACATAAGTTAGACAAAGGCTCTCTGCCTAATTAGGGTCGGACGTGAGTTTTGTCATACCAGACACGAGAGAATAGGAGACTCTTTGCCTCAATGACATTAGGTGCGGGTAGTTTGGTGCTAAGCGTGAGTGAGATATGAAGCTCATTCCTCAATGACATCAAGCATCCTATGAATGAAGTCCAAAACTAGGTCTAATAAGTTTAAAACCCAAAAAGTCTTATACTAAGGTCCATAATACAAGACCAAACAATATAAACTCCTATACTACCAAAAATATGATAAAGGTGGTCATCCATGTAAAACCTAAGTGAAAAGAAACCCAAAAAGTCTTATACTGAGGCCCATAATACAAGACCAAACAATACAAACTCCTATACTACCAAAAATACGAGAAAGGTGGTCATCCATGTAAAGCCCAAGTAAAGAGAACCATAGGCCCACCAAACCCATTGGGCTCACTAAGCTCAGAAGCAGTCAAAAGCCCAAAGGCCCATGAAGTCCAAAATTAGGCCCAATAAGCTTAAAACCCAAAAAGTCTTATACTAAGGTCCATAATACAAGACCAAACAATATAAACTCCTATACTACCAAATATATAAGAAAGGTGGTCATCCATGTAAAGCCCAAGTAAAGAGAACCCTAGGCCCACCAAACCCATTGGGCTCACTAAGCTCAGAAGCAGTCAAAAGTCCAATGGCCCATGAAGTCCAAAATTAGGCCCAATAAGCTTAAAACCCAAAAAGTCTTATACTGAGGCCCATAATACAAGACCAAACAATATAAACTCCTATACTACCAAATATATAAGAAAGGTGGTCATCCATGTAAAGCCCAAGTAAAGAGAACCCTAGGCCCACCAAACCCATTGGGCTCACTAAGCTCAGAAGCAGTCAAAAGTCCAATGGCCCATGAAGTCCAAAATTAGGCCCAATAAGCTTAAAACCCAAAAAGTCTTATACTGAGGCCCATAATACAAGACCAAACAATATAAACTCCTATACTACAAAATATATGAGAATGGTGGTCATCCATGAAAAGCCCAAGTAAAGAGAACCCTAGGTCCACCAAACCCATTGGGCTCACTAAGTTTGAAGCAATCAAAAGCCTAAAGGTCCATGAAGCCCAAAACTAGGTCTAATAAGCTTAAAAACCAAAAAGTCTTATACTGAGGCTCATGATACAAGACCAAACAATATAAACTCCTATACTACAAAAAATATGAGAAAGGTGGTCATCCATGTCAAGCTTAAGTAAAGAGAACCCTAGGCCCACTAAACTCATTGGGCTCACTAAGCTCAGATGCTGTCAAAAGTTCAAAGGCCCATGAAGCCCAAAATTAGGCCCAATAAGCTTAAAATTTAAAAAGTCTTATATTAAGGCCCATAATACAGGAGCAAACAATATAAACTCCTATACTACCAAATATATGAGAAAGATGGTCATCCATGTAAAGCCCAAGTAAAGAGAACCATAGGCCCACCAAACCCATTAGGTTCACTAAGCTTTGAAGCAATCAAAAGCCTAAAGGCCCATGAAGCCCAAAACTAGGCCCAATAAACTTAAAACCCAAAAAGTCTTATACTAAGGCCCATAATACAAGACCAAACAATATAAACTCCTATACTACCAAAAATATGAGCAAGGTGGTCATCCATGTCAAGCTTAAGTAAAGAGAACCCTAGGCCCACTAAACCCATTGGGCTCACTAAGCTCAGAAGCTGTCAAAAGTCCAAAGGTCCACGAAGCCCAAAATTAGGCCCAATAAGCTTAAAACCCAAAAAATCTTATACTAAGGCCCATAATACAAGACCAAACAATATAAATTCCTATACTACCAAATATATGGGAATGGTGGTCATCCATGAAAAGCTCAAGTAAAGAGAACCCTAGGCCCACCAAACACATTGGGCTCACTAGGCTTAGAAGCAATCAAAAGCCCAAAGGCCCATGAAACCCAAAACTAGGTTTAATAAGCTTAAAACCCAAAAAGTCTTATACTGAGGCCCATAATACAAGACCAAACAATATAAACTCCTATACTACCAAAAAATATGAGAAAGGTGTTCATCCATGTCAAGCCTAAGTAAAGAGAACCCTAGGCCCACTAAACCCATTAGGCTCACTAAGCTCAGAAGCTGTCAAAAGTCCAAAGGCCCATGAAGCCCAAAATTAGGCTCAATAAGCTTAAAACCCAAAAAGTCTTATACTAAGGCCCATAATACAAGACCAAACAATATAAACTCCTATACTACCAAATATATGAGAAAGATGACCAGCCATGTAAAGCCCAAGTAAAGAGAACCATAGGCCCACCCAACACATTAGGCTCACTAAGCTTTGAAGCAATCAAAAGCCTAAAGGCCTATGAAACCCAAAACTAGGCCCAATAAACTTAAAACCCAAAAAGTCTTATACTAAGGCCCATAATACAAGACCAAACAATATAAACTCCTATACTACCAAATATATGAGAAAGGTGGTCATCCATGTAAAGTCCAAGTAAAGAGAACCCTAGGCTCACTAAACCCATTGAGCTCACTAAGCTCAGAAGCTGTCAAAAGCCCAAAGGCCCATGAAGTCCAAAACTAGGCCCATATTATATTTATGGTAGAAAATTTTGTTTGGTGTTATTTTCTAATTAGAATTAGAAATTTACGCATATAATTAATGTAAACCTCTAATTCTAATAGAAAAGCATTATCAATTGAAAAACTATACTTAAATTTTAAATGTAATTTAGTAGAGTGAAAAAGAAAATATTATTTTGCTTAAAAAAATTCTTATGACAAATTTGTAGTTAAAACGGCCCATTCCAAATTCAGAACTGTCCGTTCTTGTTTAACTAGTCATGTGTTATTTTTTTCATCTGGAACGGCCCGTTCCGATCTATTATTCATGTTTTATTTTTTCATCTGGAACGACCCGTTTTGATTTCAGAACAGCTCGTTCCGAAAGTGAATAACAGTTGCGTCAGTGCATCGTAACACATACTTTTTTTTGGGTAATTTTAAAAAAATAATTTCAATCAAAAATTCAAAAATTTGGATCCAATGTGATAGGGTGTATTGGTAAACAGTAGGCTTAGATGCATCTAATGGTAATTTTTCATGGTGCACCCATACACCACTTGTAGTAATGGTCCATTAGAGAATTTACCCTTAAAAATGAATAATTAATTCCTCAAAAGAAAAACTTAAAAAAGACAAACTACTTATATATATATATATACATATATATATATATACATATATATATATAT